GCATTACATTAAACAACCTACAAGCTTCCTCCTCGTTCCCCCACTTCCAGTACCCAGAAATCATTGAATTCCAATCCGCCACCTTTCTACTAGACATTTCATCAAACACCTTCCGTGCAATCTCAGTACACCCGTACTTCCCATACGCATCCATAATCACGTTCCTCACATACGGATCTTGAAAATGACCCAGTTTACGAACATGAGCATGGAAGATAATCCCAGCTTTACCAGCTGATTTGATCACAATCGGGTAGACATAAGCATCGGGCTTTACATTACAAGAATTATTCATTTGCCGAAAAAGACAGAGCACTTCACCATGATCACCCGTCTGAGAGTAGTACCTGAGGATGGAGGTGAAAATATAGATGTTCGGAGAGGAGGAGGAGTGGAAAAGGAGACGAGCGTAAAGCGGTGGTGCGCGGAGACGCGTGCAGTGGTCTAGGAGAAGCTCGAGCCAGAAGCCATGGCGATGAAGGGAGTTCTGAATGAGGTGTGCATGGAGTTGATTGAGTTGTGCAATGGTGACTGTTTTGGATGCAATTGTAACCAAATTGGACATGTCAGGCAACCACCATTTTTGTTTTCAGTCGCAGTCGCAGTCGCCTGGTATAATAAGATTGAACAAATTAAGTTTGAATTTTATTAGGAAGTTTGTATTATGAATTTTAAAAATATTATTAAATAATTATTAATTAAAAATTTTTAATAAAAAATTATTAAATGATTAAATTAATTAGAAAATTATTATATATATATATACATATATGGATTAATAAATAAATAAATAAATAAATAAATAAAAGGGCAAAAGGTGACAACTTTCCATAGATTGATTGATTTTTGTTTCATAATAAAAAGTTATTTTTTGATTTTTTGATTGCTTAATCTCTTGCTAAAATTATGCCATAAATTTATGCTATCAAAAGAAACTACTAATAACCTTTTTTTAATTTGTTAAATGAAATATTTATATAAAAAAATAATATTAAAATAAAATATTTATGTTTTTTAATAATAAAAATATGGGTTATTATTTAAAAATTTATTTATTTTATCAACTATATTATTTTAATGTATGAGAATTTAATTGAATTAAATAACAATTTTTATATCTTTTAAATATATTAATTTGTCACTATAAATAAATAAATAAAATTAAATTAAATGAGAATTTTGGTAGATGTCAAATACTATGACTTGATGCATGGTATCCCATTAAATAATAATTACTTTATATAGTAAAAGATATATCCACATGGAGATTAATATATATATATATATATATATTTATTTATTTATATGTATTGTTAGTAATATGTATAATCATATATTGTAACGGCCCCGTAAATATTAAAATGAAATGAGTATTTAAATATATCAAATGCGGAAGCGAGATCAAAATTTCAGTTAACATCCCTTACACGAAAAACCAGAAACGTACTTAAAATATAAAAGATTAAACTAACTAAGAGAGAAACTCGAAAATAAAACTATGAGTATGACTACAGAGTCTCTAGGTATCCCCTTTGTCGTCCTCCTGCGGAACGGGCTCGGGAACCATGTCTTCCTGATCTGAAATGGTTAAATAAGGAGTGAGCTACACTAGCCCAGTAAGAACATCACGATATCTCACCGTCACGGAGGTAAAGGTGGGTAGAAAAACACAAAAAGACCAATGGAGCACAATTTACAATAAACTCGTTTATTAACATGAAAACCTTTACCATCCACTTACCTTGGTGGAATTTATGAAAACAATATGAGAAACACAATAACATCATCATAATCATTGAATAATCTAAGCTGTAAAACATAACACTTATCACGCCTCTTGTAATTCAATCATTGTACAACATATCCTTTTTTCATTTACCAGCCTACTAGTATCCGTGGGGGTCCATAGGGGTTCCGCTACCCGTTAACCTTTAACATTCATAATCAGTTTCCAGGGCCGTCCCCATACCCCGTCCGGTATGGGCGCCAAAACCATGAACCTCAATACCCCGTCCGGTATGAGGGTGAAACGGGCCGTCCCCATACCCCGTCCGGTATGGGCGCCAAAACCATAAACCTCAATACCCCGTCCGGTATGAGGGTGAAACGGGCCGTCCCCATACCCCGTCCGGTATGGGCGCCAAAACCATAAGATCTCCATACCCCGTCCGGCATGTGAGACCACAATCCCGGTAGGGTTCCCTACGGACCCGGTCCGTCCACCATCTCCCAGGATATCTAGTCAGGCTGACCCCCATAATACAATTATCAGTCTACACAATCTTTCATTTTTCCTTTTCCTCAATCAGCATCATCAATTCACATTTAAACAAGCAAATCGTAATTCATACCAAACAGACAACATACAGTATCAGTTTTTCAGTCATTCAACCCATAATTAATAAAAACGTAGTACATGCACACAAATCTGTAAAATGAACACATCAAACCTCATACTGCATTTAAAGCTGTAAACAGGCCAAATAACAGTAAATCATCAATCGCACTAGACTCGGGCTCCATTAGCAACCTTAAGCAATTTCACACATGCGTTAATTCAAGAAATACTGTTTTATCATTTTGAACTTTAATACCGTGATAGGAAATAGGGTGAGGGGTCCTTACTTGTTTTCGGGATCCGAATACGATTCACAGTGCGCCTGCAGGCTGTCCCTAATTTTCCCCTGAATTTTTCTCGGGGAACTGAAACACGCTAACAGTACCTGCACGGGTTCCAAAAAAAATCCAAATTAGGCCCAGGGCCTCTTTCGGCCCAAATCGCAACTCCGGCACGGCGGCTCCGCCGTGCTCCGGCGACGGCGCCGCCGCTGGCGGCGGCGAGTCGCCTCGGGTTGACTGTTTTCGGCCGTTTTTGGCCGAATTCGGCCACACTCGCATTGGTCCTTGTCAGAAAACAACCCTAGGGCCCTCGGGGGGCCAAAAAATTACGGAAAAATGGAGCTTACCGGCGGCGGCGCTCTCGGGTACGGCGACTCTCCGGCGAAGTTCGTGTTTTGGTGATTTGGCTTCGGTCAACCTGTAGAGAAAAGAATGGTGATCACGATGATATAAAAATTGCATCGAACGGAGGCCGGGAAGGGCCTCGTCGGAGGCAAAAAC